CTAAACTGAAAAATTATACCTTTTTTTGTCTTTCTTCAAATTTTATTATTCAAATTACATTTTAAGTTATGGTATTTTTCGATCTTATCATTATTCTTATAGATTAAGTTAACATTGTCTCTTTTTTCAATTTTTGTTAAAATTAAAATGTTCAATGGAGTGTTTTAATTTAACAAGTTTATGTAACGTCAGCTTATTCTGCTTTTACTCACCAAAAAGTAAGCTTGCCTACATACACTCCACAAACTGAGGGTCCCCCACGAGCTCTGTTCTTTTCCTCTTCCAGGGTGACCCTGTAAACTACGGAAGGCTCTTAACCTTTCATGTTCCAGACAACCACCATGACGGAGAGTTGCGGTGGAAACTGCCGGGGGGAACCACTGCTGGAAACGCAGGAGGAAGAGGTTGCAAAAGCTCCATGGAGACTTAACGTGGAGGAGTTTCGTTTGCCAAACCAAACGCATGAACATCACCATCATCGTTTTTTCTCTTTTGGTGGACTTCTTCGCAAACCCAGTGAGATATCCTCTTTTTTCCTTTTGTTCTGTTCTAACGCTCCTTTTTTTTTTGTGATGGTTCGTATATGTGCATTCAGGTGTGCAAACCCAGTAAGCCATTTGCCCCCTCTTCATCTTTATCTTTCCTTGAATGTCGGAAGTTTCTGTTTTGTGCAAGAGTTGTGGTTTGTTTAGAATGATTGTATGTTGAATTATGTGGGTCTAAGAAGTGCCATTGTTGATGCCTTCAATGAGTCTTTTACTGGGTGCACAGTTTAATAAGCGAGTTATTGTAAGCCTTAAAAGGTGGCGTGTGGAATTTTAGGAAACCTGTGTTAGTGTGATTATGTTTTTTCTCTGGACCTTTTGATGTGTCTAGTTTTGTTGTAACTTTGGGAGGGATGGTTGGTCTGTTGGTTTGTGCAAACCCAGTGGTGTGCCTTTGTTTACTCTTTGATGCTAAACGTAGTAATGCCTCTATCTCGTGTAGTGGGCCTGTGTTGAAATCGACGAATTCAGACTTCCCTTGTACTTTGAAGTGTTTGATTTGTTTGATGGGTACTTGTTTTTCTCTTCGTGGTAATGCTTTGAATTTTGAAAACTGAAGAAGTTGGAGAGGTGTTGTTATTAGTTTGTTTTATGTTTATCGTAGACCATGCTGGGAATCTTTGCACACAGGCAGATTTTGTGTTGAATGCGGACCATTGGTTCTTGTATTTGATTGATTATGTCGATTTTATTACTTTCTCTCTAATAGTCCCAGTGCTATTCTTTTGATTCAGGGAAGCAACGGAAAGTGGCAGAATATTACAAGCAGCAAGAGAGCCTACTTGAAGGATTTACTGAGATGGAGACTATGACTGAAACGGGTGGTTTCCCAGGAGCTCTCACCGAGGTCATTGTTCTAAGACCATGGAGTAGAAGTAACCAGTTTTGACTTTAATTTCAACTTTGTCTTTTCAAACATGGGAAGAAAAAGTATTTGGTCAAATATAGTCTTATGGAAGTAGATTTTAAATCTAACATAATCTCAAGTCTAAAATGATATTTGCACTCATTTATATAATATAATTTGGACATACTATCTCTAGTATGTGTGAAATCTTTAATATGAGTTAGGTTTAAATCTACTTTCTAAGTTGGTATTGAAATTTATTTTAACAAGATTTGTTGGGTTTTTTGTGTTAAGACCGTCTATAAAGATCATATAATATTGAGATATTCAATTATCGGCATGGAAAGGTGTGTTAAAAATTTCACATGGACTAAATATAATCAAATATAATTACAAGTGAGTTTAAACCTTATCATGTAGAATATAAAAATAGAACTCTACTAAATGTACATGTCAAATCTTTATCAGGATGAAATGAAGCAGCTAGCAAAGAGTGAGAGGATGGCTATTCACGTGTCAAATATATGTAACGTAGTGCTGTTTGCAGCAAAGGTTTATGCCTCAATTGCAAGCAGATCATTAGCAGTCATTGCCTCAACCATGGATTCTCTCTTGGATCTCTTGTCAGGGTTCATATTATGGTTTACTGCACATGCCATGAAAAAGCCAAACCAATATCACTATCCAATTGGAAAGAAACGCATGCAACCGGTGGTAAGAAGTGATTTAAACTGCTTTTCAGGAAATTCAAATCTTTTAGATATTGTGTGATAATGTCCAGGTAGTGAAAATGGCAACAATTGGTTGAATAAGATAGTTGCCAAATAGACATTGCATGATATGACTTGCTGTGCAGGGTATCATTGTCTTTGCATCAGTGATGGCAACCTTGGGGTTGCAGATTTTGATTGAATCTGCCCGGGAACTTATTTCCAAGGTAATTGATATAAATTTTTGTTCTTGTTTGTTCCCAATNCCATGACGGAGAGTTGCGGTGGAAACCGCCGGGGGGAACCACTGCTGGAAACGCAGGAGGAAGAGGTTGCAAAAGCTCCATGGAGACTTAACGTGGAGGAGTTTCGTTTGCCAAACCAAACGCATGAACATCACCATCATCGTTTTTTCTCTTTTGGTGGACTTCTTCGCAAACCCAGTGAGATATCCTCTTTTTTCCTTTTGTTCTGTTCTAACGCTCCTTTTTTTTTTGTGATGGTTCGTATATGTGCATTCAGGTGTGCAAACCCAGTAAGCCATTTGCCCCCTCTTCATCTTTATCTTTCCTTGAATGTCGGAAGTTTCTGTTTTGTGCAAGAGTTGTGGTTTGTTTAGAATGATTGTATGTTGAATTATGTGGGTCTAAGAAGTGCCATTGTTGATGCCTTCAATGAGTCTTTTACTGGGTGCACAGTTTAATAAGCGAGTTATTGTAAGCCTTAAAAGGTGGCGTGTGGAATTTTAGGAAACCTGTGTTAGTGTGATTATGTTTTTTCTCTGGACCTTTTGATGTGTCTAGTTTTGTTGTAACTTTGGGAGGGATGGTTGGTCTGTTGGTTTGTGCAAACCCAGTGGTGTGCCTTTGTTTACTCTTTGATGCTAAACGTAGTAATGCCTCTATCTCGTGTAGTGGGCCTGTGTTGAAATCGACGAATTCAGACTTCCCTTGTACTTTGAAGTGTTTGATTTGTTTGATGGGTACTTGTTTTTCTCTTCGTGGTAATGCTTTGAATTTTGAAAACTGAAGAAGTTGGAGAGGTGTTGTTATTAGTTTGTTTTATGTTTATCGTAGACCATGCTGGGAATCTTTGCACACAGGCAGATTTTGTGTTGAATGCGGACCATTGGTTCTTGCATTTGATTGATTATGTCGATTTTATTACTTTCTCTCTAATAGTCCCAGTGCTATTCTTTTGATTCAGGGAAGCAACGGAAAGTGGCAGAATATTACAAGCAGCAAGAGAGCCTACTTGAAGGATTTACTGAGATGGAGACTATGACTGAAACGGGTGGTTTCCCAGGAGCTCTCACCGAGGTCATTGTTCTAAGACCATGGAGTAGAAGTAACCAGTTTTGACTTTAATTTCAACTTTGTCTTTTCAAACATGGGAAGAAAAAGTATTTGGTCAAATATAGTCTTATGGAAGTAGATTTTAAATCTAACATAATCTCAAGTCTAAAATGATATTTGCACTCATTTATATAATATAATTTGGACATACTATCTCTAGTATGTGTGAAATCTTTAATATGAGTTAGGTTTAAATCTACTTTCTAAGTTGGTATTGAAATTTATTTTAACAAGATTTGTTGGGTTTATTGTGTTAAGACCGTCTATAAAGATCATATAATATTGAGATATTCAATTATCGGCATGGAAAGGTGTGTTAAAAATTTCACATGGACTAAATATAATCAAATATAATTACAAGTGAGTTTAAACCTTATCATGTAGAATATAAAAATAGAACTCTACTAAATGTACATGTCAAGTCTTTATCAGGATGAAATGAAGCAGCTAGCAAAGAGTGAGAGGATGGCTATTCACGTGTCAAATATATGTAACGTAGTGCTGTTTGCAGCAAAGGTTTATGCCTCAATTGCAAGCAGATCATTAGCAGTCATTGCCTCAACCATGGATTCTCTCTTGGATCTCTTGTCAGGGTTCATATTATGGTTTACTGCACATGCCATGAAAAAGCCAAACCAATATCACTATCCAATTGGAAAGAAACGCATGCAACCGGTGGTAAGAAGTGATTTAAACTGCTTTTCAGGAAAATCAAATCTTTTAGATATTGTGTGATAATGTCCAGGTAGTGAAAATGGCAACAATTGGTTGAATAAGATAGTTGCCAAATAGACATTGCATGATATGACTTGCTGTGCAGGGTATCATTGTCTTTGCATCAGTGATGGCAACCTTGGGGTTGCAGATTTTGATTGAATCTGCCCGGGAACTTATTTCCAAGGTAATTGATATAAATTTTTGTTCTTGTTTGTTCCCAATAATTATTATATCTGACACAATTTTAATTTCCGGTGTCATTCTTGTTCTTACAGTCTAAGCCTGACATGGATCCAACAAAACTTCATTGGATGATCGGGATTATGGTGGGTGTGACTATAGTGAAATTCATTCTTATGGTCTACTGCCGAAGATTTAAAAATGAAATCGTTAGAGCGTATGCACAAGATCACTTTTTTGATGTCATTACTAATTCTGTTGGATTAGCTGCTGCTGTTTTAGCTGTTAAGTTCTACTGGTGGATTGATCCAACAGGAGCTATTATTGTGAGTTATAACTACATCCTAATGCTTCTCTTTAGTTTTTATTTGCTTGCTACTGGAGCCAACTGCGTGATTGAACTACTAATGATACCATGAATGTGTGTTAATGCAGATAGCATTGTATACAATTAACACATGGGCCAAGACTGTGATTGAGAATGTTGGTTCACTCATTGGAAGAACAGCACCACCTGATTTTCTGGCCAAGTTAACTTATCTGATATGGAATCACCATGAGCAGATCAAGCACATAGATACTGTTAAAGCATACACCTTAGGTGCAGATTACTTTGTGGAGGTCGACATTGTGTTGCCAGAAGACATGGTTCTCCACGAAGCACACAACATTGGTGAGACACTCCAAGAGAAGCTAGAGCAACTTCCGGAAGTTGAGAGGGCTTTTGTGCACATAGATTTTGAGTTCACCCACAGGCCAGAACACAAGACCACGGTGTGATGTCTCGGAACAATGCTGTCATAGCTTAGTTTTGGTAATTCTCTTGTTTATTTTATGTAAGCCTAATAACGTAATTTTTTTTAGTAGTTTGTGATTCTTCTGAATGATAGATACTTCCTATGTGGTTGATTAAGAGTAATATGGGTTTAGTCCTACATTTAGTTGTCAAATAGCATTGTTTTGTTATGTCATGGGACAATAATTGTATACCTATCGTGCTTTTTTCTTAGTTATTTTAAACCGAATAGCATAAGATATTTCTACTTGCTATCTCTAAAAAATACTTGCTATGTGTTAATTCATTTTTTTTAAGGATTAAACCCTCTATTGGTCCTCATATTTGTTGGTGAATCTCAAGTGGGTCATCGTTTTTTTTTTCGGTCTCAATTGGGTCCATATACTTGGAAAATTGAGTCAATTGGATTTATATATTTGAAAAATTAAACCAATTACGTCCTGTCTATTAAATTTTCACAAACGGCGTCAAAGTTTGCTGACGTGGTGCACGGTCTTCTATTGACTTAAACTGGGTCGTCTAACCCTTTGGGTTGTTTAACACCTTAGTCGTCTAACATAGTGACTTAGGTTTCTTGGAGGCTTGGATCGTCTAATGCTTTAAATTGGATGATTACTATTATTAGTCTCGTTTTACACTTTGACTCGTCTATTCCTTATACTCGTCTAACATTTTGACACGTCTAATCCTTAGACTCGTCTAGTGTTAAAACTTGACCTTTCCATGATCCAAATTGAAATATAGGAAAAACACTAGAAAAGGTGACACTAGTACAAAAACAACGTACAATGTCACGCGTTCAACGTTCAACCACTGAATAACTAACGTTAAAAATGACTGGTGACATTTTTGTAATACAATTATTAAACGTCGTTTAGAATTGTAATTCGACGTAAAAGGATATAAAACATCAAATGCCCCAGCATTAGACATCAATTTGAGCGGAAGATTGAAAATTCATTAACTTTATCTTAGCGCGCGAGACCCTATTTTCTTCTCAAACCTTTCTCGAACGAAGTTTGACGACCATCACATGTAATCTTTCTTTCATTTGATACAAATGCATTTTATGTATGATTTTCATTTGTTTTGACCTGTTATTTTCGTGCTCTTTTCTTTCATAGGCGCATTCTGCTTTCTCTGTCACCGGTGATGACACTTTATTTCAACCCACCTTTTGAAGATTAGTTTTCATTTTCGTTTTGAAGAACTTATTTGTTGAACTTGTTTGTTGTTTTCTTTGTTGAACTTGTTTGTTGTTGATACTACATTCATAGTTCTTGCTTTATAAAATACCAAAAATTGAAATTTTTTGTTTTTCTGCTTTTCAGGTCTTGTAGAGTTATAAAAAAAGAGCACAATTAATTAAAAAAACAAAAAAAATTAATTAACATCATATATTAACAAAATTTGACGTTAAGTTAACGTTGTATATTGACAAAATTCGACGTTAATTTAACGTCAAAATTTTTAAATTCGATATCAATTTAACGTCTTCTGATATGACGTCGTTCGCAAATTCGCCATTAAAAGCCCAAAATATTCGACGCTGTACGCGATTTTTGTACTAGAGTGAGGAAGGGGGAAGGGGGTTGGGGTTGGGGTTGGCGTTGAATAGCGTTTTTAAATTCTTTTGCAAATCAACACTTAATAACTATTGTAGGGGGTTTCGACGTTTGTGTTTTCAATAAAGCGTTTTATACTTTTGTTTATATTTTTATTCAATTGATGTTAAATAAATTAAGATTTTTATTATGTTAGTTTTCGAGATGTTATCCGATTTTAAAGTTCCACAAGAATGTTTTATACTTTACTCGTGGCATCCTAAATTGGAGTGTTACAAGAAGAATGAATTAATTTTTTCCAGAACTGTCACTAGATAGAGGATGTGCATTGATTACAAAAAACCCAATCAAGCTACAAGGAATTACCATTTTCCACTTCCATTCATATATCAAATGCTAGAGAGATTAGTTGTACAAGAATATCATTGCTTACTTGATTGATACTCAAGCTATAATCAAATAGCCATGCATCATCAAGACCAAGAAAAGATAACATTTACATGTCTTTTTGTTATCTTTAAATACAGGAAAATGCCTTTTAGACTTTGTAATGCTCCAACCACGTTTCAAAGGTGCATGTTAACTATTTTTTTCTAATTTGATTGAGAAAATCATTAGTCTTCATGGATGATTACTTTGTCTATGGTGAATCATTTGATGCATGCTTGAAAAACCTCAATATTATTCTAAGAAGGTGCATAGAAACAAACTTGGTGCTTAATTAGAAAAAAATGTCATTTTATGGTTAAAGAAGGTATTACTCTTGCCTACAAGATTTCTGAAAAAGGCATTGAAGTGGATCCCATAAAGGTGGAGGTGTTGGCTGCAAAACCAACGACAAGTGTATTGGTCGCATCGTAGCAAGTGATAAATATCGTTCTCTCCCAAGAGACTTGTGCAACACATGACAATTCTTCCTTTTATAACTCAATGAGACATCAAAATGCACAAAACAATACAAGAAACTCTTTTTGGTATTTTATCGAACAATTGGTGTGCAAGGAATTTAACATAGTGTATTTACAATTTGTCAAGACTAGAATTCATCCATTTCATTCTCATGCATTCACAAACATCTCAATTCCATCCAATAGGTATTCAATTTCAATTCTAGGTTAAAATCATATTTCTCAATACATCAAGAACCAAAAATCATGCATGGGTGATCAATCCAAAGCAAGCATTAAGCATAGAAATTGAACACTAACATGAAATAGAAAAGCATATATCATTAGCATCACAAAATACATAAGAATTCCATGTTTTACAACTAATCTCAACAAATAGAAAAATCCTCCATGGTGGAGAACTTAGGGTTCTACAAAATTGAAGAGATAGGGAAGAAATTGGAACCAAAGAGAAGATGCACAACCTTTCCCAAGGTTCTTAGCAGTTGCTCCATGCTCCATTTGCGCCTCCCCTTTGCAATTTCATCTCCAATTCGTGACTCATCTTCTTCCTCAACCCAAAAGGGGCAAAATCACCACTGATGAAGCTTAAAGACCTAAGGAGGAGAGGGAGAGCTTCCCAACACCCCAAACATCCTCCAAGGGCCTCTCCCAATCTCTCTAGGTGAAGAATGAAGTGTAGGAGGAGAAGAACGCCCAAAAAATCGCGAGAACCATGCTTAAATAACCCATTTTGAAAAGTCAGCGTCGTCACCGCTCAGCTACACTTTAGCTGCAGCCCAACCGTGGCATTTCAGAGGGCTGGCGCTCAGCTGGAGCCTCACGACAACATTCGAGAGAGCTAGTGCTCAGCTGGCGCACAACTATAGGCAGTTTTGACAACACTCTAAAATTCAAGTTCTTGTGCAATTCCAAAGGTGTCCAACATGGGTATTTGCTTCAAATTGATCTTTTATTTTCCCAAAACATGTTCCCTTGAGTTATTGCTTGCTTTCCTCCATTAAAATTATTTCCTATTCATTTATTTGACACACTCAAATAGAGAGATTGGAGGTAAAAACAAGCATAAACTAACTAAAACATAAGAAAACTAGAAAACACACTAAACTTGAGGATAAAACAAGGTAAAAGTTATGAAGGAGTTGATTTATTCATCAAAATATATACACAAAAACGCTTAAAATCAACCGTTATCATGAGGTCATTTCCAAACTTTCTCCGCCTATTAATGTCAAAAGGGTGCGAAGTTTCCTGAGCTACACTGCTTTTTATTGAAGATTCATAAAAGATTTTGCCAAAGTTGTCAAACCTCTAAGCAATCTGCTGGTCAAGGACACCAAATTCAGTTTTGATCAAAATTGTCTCATGGCTTTTTAGCAGCTCAAGCAAAAAATGAGCTCTACATGTGTCATCATACCACCAGATTAAAATTTCAGCTTTGAACTAATGTGTGATGCAAGTTTTGCAGGATTTGGGTGTGTGCAAATTTAAATATTGAGTTTTGACATTGCTTTTGGAGCTATTACGTTTTGACTTGTTTCCACATATTTAAATATTGAGTTTTTTAAAAGTATGTTTTAGTGCTATAAGAAAGTTTTGCATTGTTCCATTTTTGTAAGAACTCGTGACACTCTGAATTGGGATGTTACACTCTGCAGGCTTATAAGC